TTTTTTTTTTGACTTTTACGCAGTCAGTCGTCGAAGCATTTTTCAAGTTTGCATTTTTCTTAATCCCTTGTTTGCTGGCTACATATTTTTTACGGCGTTCCAATCTAATCTATTTTATTCATAATCTCATTTATTATTATTAATATTATCATTTTTGTGAAGGGGTTCTGGTCTTGAGAATATTTTCATGAGAGAGGAGTTATCCTCTTCGAGGGTGTTCTGGCTGTGAAAATATTTCTGTTGTTTTATATACTAAAAAAAAAAAGTATCGAGAAGAGTATATTGTGCAAATCAGGAAATAATAGAAAGATATCATCCTGGGTATAATGCTTTTAACAGTATCCCTTACCATAAGAATGCTGAGTTTGCCTTCATCATATATCCAAATTATTATTGGCAGTTTGTTAACAATTGATAGCATATTGGCAATGGCTGTTATAGGTAAACCTAATCATTCGTTTCTAAATCCTAAAATCGTAAACCCATTACACCCATCTCACACACACACACACAAAAAAAAATGATAGTGACAATGGAAGCGATAGTGATAATTAGAGCAACTACTGTTATATTTCTAGATGAGTCGTGTGTTCGTCCTCCTGCTGGTGGCGCTGGCTTTGGCTTCGCTGGTGGTGGCTGGGCCTTTCCCCGAAGCTGAGGCCGGAGCCAAGGCAGATCCGTATTTCTTCATCCGTAGGCCCTACTTTGGCTACGGCTACGGCTACCACAGACCCCATTTTTATGGCTAGAGATGCGGACTCACAAGGTACGTTGACACTGCGTCTCGCATTCTTTCTCCTTCATACACACGTAAATACATTTTGCTTATTTATTCATGATATCAGTGCGTTAGTGCATTATATCATCCTTCACTGAATACACCTCAGGAATTCTGATCTGGGATTTGAAGTGCTCTTTCTATATATACCGAGCGCCCACGGGGAGTGCGTGTGAAACTATCCTATCCTTACTCATGCATGGGTAGATAGGTAATGTCTATTGAAGCTAAGTAGCTCCTAGTTGCACACGCCCTTTAGTGGGTCGTGTATCGGTGGTTAGAGTGACCGTCTTGCAATCACTTGCAATGGCGGCGAGGGACCGAATCCCTATCGGAGAGATTATATAGTCATGATATCAATGCGCTTGTGCATTATTCCATCTTTCATATATA